AAGTTGCATTCCTTTATTCCACAAATATTTATGGATTGTCAGTTATGTAGCAGCCACAACCCTAGGCGCTGGGGGTATATCCATGAACAGATAAACAAGGTCTTTGCCTTCATGGAACTGGCATTATGGTGTGTATGTGTGTGTGTGTGTGTGTGTGTGTGTGTGTGTGTCAGGGGGCTGAGGTGGGACAGGGGCTGAGGTGGGACAGGAGGCAGCTGCCAGACCATTTGCAGGGTATTACAGGCCCAGGAAAGGAGGTCCAGCTGCCATAATCTGATTTATATTACATAAAGATCTGGGAAAGGGATTGTCCAGGAACAAGAACAGAAGTAAGAGGACAGTTAGGGGGTTACTGCAGTGGTTCTGACAAGAGATGGTAGTGTTTGCAGGAGCTGCTGGTGGTGGAGATGGACAGGGTGGACATTTATTTCATAGCAGAATGAACAGCACTCACCGATGAGTTCGACGTAGGGAAGGGAGAAAAGGAACTCCTACAGACACTCCTGGGTTTGGGGGAGTGAGGTACTCAGTCTCGTCTTTCTCAGGGCCATACACCCTGCTGTTGCCATGTTCCTGGCTTACACACAAAATGGTATTTGTCTTGCATGTGACTGGAAGGGCCCGTCCCAGGGGCTCCAGCCACCATGGCTCCAGTGGCCACACTGAGCACTAGCCCAGCAAGCTTGTAGCCCACTCACAGCAGTATCCCCCATGGAAAGCTCTGCTGCGGGGGAGAATTTTCCAGCTGGAGCCAAGCGTGTGCTGCAAAGGGCCTACTGAGAGATGGAAAGTCACACTCTATGATATGCAGCAAGCACTCTCAAGGGCAAGGTATGCCCCGAGCATTAGAAATAGAAGATTTCTAGAATTCAAGGCTAGGAGAGATTTTAGAATCCATCTTGTTCAACCCTCTTCCCTCCCTCTTTACATGGAGGAGTAAGAGACGAGTCAAAGGTACTCATTCCTTTATGCCATTTATTGAGTATGAGTGCAACTGACCTTGGGCTGGACACCGGTCTGTGTGTGGTCCAAGGATCCGGGAATGGAGGGTAAGCCTCTTGTACAGCAACTGGGTCGTTGGGCTTGCAGTTTCTATTTCTCTCTCTCTTTATTTATTTTTTTAAAGTAATTCATCTTCATTGCGTTTTACAAAGGGATTAGTTCAAGATGGATTGAGGACCAAAATAACAATAACAACAATAATTTCTTGGCTGGAAGCATTTGCCTCCTAGAGTTACAGCTCATTCAGCCACATGACTGTCAGGGCTGCCTGCCTGCTCCAATTCCCTCCCACTTCCTCCCGTCAGAGGCCCCGAGATGGTCTTAGAGACCTCAGGAACCCATTTTATTCTCCAGCCCTGATAGGAAGATGACTCTCCTTCTGGGCATTAGCCTTTTGCTTTTCTGTGGGTACACTCACTCGTGTACATTCCCTTTGTCCTACCACCCCGTTTTCCTTTCTCTGACTTTAAACGCATGGCCTGTTTCTCTCTGCGCCTGGTTTTCCAGTCATTCTCCACCTTTGACTTTCATCTCTGTGTCCTTCTCCTGCCTCTGCCCGTTGAGTGCCCTCTGGGAGGGCCTGTGTGGGTCCCGGTGCCTATGGGGTGCGGAACTTGACCGTTTTCTATTTTTATCTCTTCACAGACCGAGGCGTGCTGTGTGACCAAGTGACCCAGAGCCCCCCGTACCAGACAGTGGCAAGCGGCAGTAAGGTGACACTGTTCTGCACTTACCACACAACATACTCAAACCCGGATTTATACTGGTACCGAATAAGGCCAGATCGTTCCTTTCAGTTTATCCTCTACAGGGATAACACTCAATCCAAAGATGCAGATTTTACTCAGGGTCGTTTTTGGGTGTGGCACAGTCAGTCCCAGAAAACCTTCCACTTGGTGATCTCGGCGGAGCCTGAAGACAGTGCCACATACTACTGCGCCATCTATCCCCACAGTGTCGCAGGTGCCCAGGAGGTCTGAACATAAACCCCCAGCACAGCCTGGTGTAGCTCCCTGGGATCCTTCTTCCCAGCTATTTTGTGTTCCAGCCTGGCCTTTGGAGGTGCCCTGACATGTCTGCTGAATAATACAAGGGCAGCTCACATCCAGGAGAGCACCCTGGCTTCAGATGGAGCCGAGCACCTCCCTACCTTCTGACTCAGTGGGCCGTTGCGGTGGGAGAGTGGGAGAGGTATGTCTGGGGAATTCTCATCTTCGTGTCCCCAGTGCCCAGGTCACTCACGCCTGATACGGGGGCCTGTCGCGTATGTACTCTGAGGACTGTGAAGATACCAGAATGGCCAAGGTACCATTCGGGAGTGTTTTTATTTTAGTCTCCATCATTTATCCATTATTGTGAATTGGTCTGTTTTCCTTTTAAGATTCAAAGTAGACACAAAGTTACTTACTTCAAAATTTTCCCCCCAGTTCACCTTTTCCCTGCTTCTTCTTGCACAGCCACCTTATTTTTCTTGAATGCTCTTTGACACTGCCATTTCACTTACTTTATTTGGAGAACATTTTTCTTCCACGGAGGAGCATTGAGATACTCCGAAAAAGCTGTTGGTGATCCCTAGAACCCCAGCATCAAGTCCCTGCGTTTGGAGCTCTTTGGTGTCTCCAAGGAAGATGATCATCTCCAGGAGAATCCAACTGTGTGATGTCAAAATAGATACACCCTGAGCCCTGGGAACTGGTCCC